AAACACTGAAGCAATTATTCAACAACACCAATAATGATAGTTAATAATAATAGTATATAAGCTTACCAAACAGTAATCCGGGGCGCGAAACTTGGCCTTGATCGAGCACGCGCCGCAAGCGAGGATGTTGAATATCGTGGTGGTGTTGTCGCGGGGCTTGTAGCGAAAAACAACGAAGCCGTCGTTGTCCCGCAAGTTTGCGCTGATGTAGCGCCCATTTTGCAAATTGATCGGGGCTCGTCTGTGGAAGCGGAACGAGTCCATCGCCACCAAACTCGACACGTTGGTCTGCGTGTTCATCTGCGCGCAGATCGCGAAAAAATCAGAGTTCCTTAATTGCCTTTACGTGCGGAATTCTGTTGCGTCACTTGATTTATGACCACGATAATGTTTTTAATTGAGAGATAAGACAAAGCAAAAAACTTTAAATGAGGATATCGCCGTCGGATGGACCGAGTAGCTAATGGGGTTACTTGTAAATTTGTAACTTATTTTCTAATTATTAATTTCTTATTTTAAAAAAGGTTGTTTTATTTTTTAAATTTTACCAACATCATTTCATGTCTGAATTTTAAAAATATATTGTAACTTTTTTGAAAAAAAATTTATGGACGTTTCCGTCGAAGAACATACCCTTTTGGTGATTATTTCGATTTTTTTTTTTTACGGAAAAAATTAATTTTTATTTATTTTTTCAAATTCATAGTTTTATAAACTATTGGAATTGTTTATCATTGCATATTTATTGCATAAATTTTTAATCTTACATCTGCGAAATAGTAAAGAACATTAATTAATTCAAGTTCCAATAAGTTGTTTATATAATTACAACAGTTTAATCGACTAAAAAAAATGTTTAAAAAATATTCAATTGACGTAAAGTACTACGCGTTAAAAAAAAAAATTTTTTTTCTGTAAAAAAATTACTCAATACAATGACAATCATAAAATTATAAAGACATTATTTCAAATTTTATTGCTTTCATTGTTTTTACGAAACATTTCGTTATTTAAAGTAAAATTTTGAATTAACGAAAATATGATTATCCGAGTTATTTTTATCAAGATAGTCAGCAAATAAATTTGTGTCACCTACGTTGGAAAAATATTTAAAAAATTACCATTAAAAAATGTTAATATTATACAGTTCGTGATTTACGTCTCAAATGTCGAAGTCCTTTACTTTAAAGTTAGATGGCTGACAAAAAGGTTTTTTTTTTTTTTTTTTTTTTTCGGGGTATCGGAATCATTTAATCAAAAACCGGAAAAGAAACAAAAAGGGACTCACGATGTAGAGCGTGAAATGGTAAGTCATGTTGTATTTGACGCCGAAGAGGGTGAGCTTGGTCCGTCGGACGCAGTGCAAACCTTCGGGATCGCTGCGATGCTGGATCGGTTGTCCCGGTATTGGCCTGCTGGGACATGGGTGCTTCCTCAGGACGTTCTCGGCAGCACACAGGGTCGGTGGATGTAAAATCTCCCCCGAAGTCACTGCCAGCAGGTAAGTCGACTTGTCCGCATCTATGTAGCTGAACGTGGACAAGATTTTTTTTTTTCCATACATAAAATGCTTTTATTTTTTTCCTTCTACATTATGTACAGTTTATCATTAAAAAGCGAGGATGTAGTTGATTCAGCTATACGAGCGATTTTACAAAGAACTCCAATCAAGAGGCAAATTTTTTTTTTTTGGCAGCATACCTATAGAAATTGATTTTTATCTTCTATCTGCACGTCAAAAATGTTTAAGCCCAGATTAAGAAACTTAAGAAACGCGTGACATTTTACCTTAAAAAGCTTTTGGAAGTTTTTTTCGTATTTACATTTACGAGTAAAAAATTTGTAAAATTGCGCGCAAATTTTCGTTACTGTAAAATCATAAGGAGTGTAAATAAAATGAACGACACGTTTCACTTCAAACAGACTAAAAAGCCTAAAAAACTGTGTAAATTATTTTGAAAATTTGGAACCGGCTCAAAGAGAGAGAGAGAGAGAGAGAGAGAGAGAGTAAACTTATATCAAAAGCTCGTGCCTCTTGCTTTTTTTCCCAGTATTAAAAGGCCCAGAGTGAAAATTTCTCGATGTAACAGGGTACCTTTTGTTCCAGGACACGATGAGCCTGCGCCGGCTCCACCTCTGCTGAAACTCGAGGCTCGGCTGTTGTCTCTTGGTTCTAGTCGGGGCCGCGAGATTGCTGGGCAGGTGAGCCAGGGCGTCGGATGTGGCGTACAGCAAGACCGTGTTGGGCGAGCGGGTCTTGAGTATCGGCGAGCTCACCGGTCGCATGTCGATGCGGTAGAGATTGGCTTGGGCCCAGCCTGGGATCGTGAAGTTGCGTGTCTCTGCGCCCTCGTATTTGAAGAGCGGCGAGCCTGGTATCATGTTCTTCACCAGGTAGTGCGTTTGAGCCGCTGTTGTTTGCGGTGCGTGTACAAAGGAGAGCGTCATGGATTTTAATGCTATATAAGTATACCGTGCTTGCTAATTTGCGATTTTTTTTCTCCCTTAAATTTTAATGTATCCACTTGTTGATCATTATTTAAAAAATATTGGTTCTTTGAAATTAACAAATTTTTAATAAATAATTATTTGATACAATCTTCTTGTATGTTGAAGATGATGAAATATTTGTTGCATTAAATGTCGTGTCATCTTCATCTTCGGTTGGATCATAAATGTTATTCAGTATATACCATTAATGGACAATAGTCATGATAATCTTTCATTTTTTACCTTAATATCTTTAATGTACATTGTTATTAAATATTAAAGAAAGAAAAACACGATTATTTAAATCATTTATCTATGACAAAGATTTATTTGGATCATTATTTTGATCTCCATCTGGTAGTAAGAACTTTATCCATTTTATTCCTCACTGACAGACATGATCAAAGTTGTATTTATTAATTAAAAAAATGCACTATTTTATTTGACACAAGACAATTATTTTATGAATTAAACGTAATTGTATTTAAAATAAAAAAAAAAGATAAAATATCATAACAAAACATTAAATATGAATACTATAAAAAATTAATATAAAATGTTATTTGCATGTATTTAAAAATATTTTAATAAATATCAGCAGTATTTCTATTACTAGTATTTCAAATACATAAAACAATTTATTTTTAATTCAAATATAATTTTAAATAAAATATTTTCAATCAAAAAACTTTGAATTTAATGTATTTTAATTAAGGTACTTAGGTATTNATGTTAAGTAATAATTAGAAAATTCAAACATAATCAATTATAACTGTATGATAAATTTATTATTTTAATTGCTTGATTAAATAAAACTTGTTTTTAAATATTTTATTTTAAATACTTTATGAAATACATTTGTATTCTAAAAAAAATATTTTAAATAATGTATTTCAAACAATGTAAATGAATATTCTTACATAAAATCTTTTTTCACAACCTTCTATGAGGCATAATACACATTTATGTTCTAAATTAAACACGGTGAGCTTTTGAAAAAGTTATATTAACGTTCCTTCAACAAATGTATAAAGTACATGTTGAATAGGGTGAAATTGTGTTAACAATACTGATTTAGATTACAATTTATTGGAAAAAAAAATGTAAACTCAAAAAACTGTATAAAATACATTACATGAAGGTACATAAGCTGAGCATACCTATGGTTTTTATCATCTACTGTTCAGTTTGTTGGACAAAAATCTGATTTACTGAGTAAAAAAAGCGTGCGACAACTAGACAAAAGTAATGAAAGAAAAATAAGCTAGTTAAAAAAAAAAAAAGAGAAAAAAAAGTAGGTACGTAAAATCCAGATCGCACGTGCACACGTGTAACAACAACAGTCGTGTACTTACTCCTCCAACAAAAAAGTGCTTGCAAGTGATGCGAATGTTGAGTCTCGCGCTCCTATGTAACAATTCTAATTCCGTCACGGTCCTTGCATCTAACATTCATCGTGGGCACGTATGTGTATATATTTATATTTATATAGATGTCCGGAAAGGAAACAAGAAGAAGAAGAAGAAGAAAGTGATGCAGGCAGGGAGGGAGAGATCCGAAAGGGTTGAGCTCGTCTAGACGTCGCGAAATAGTTTACTGCTGCCGATATATAAGTATGCTCTCGGCACTTTGACGACAAGCTATAAATGAGTCCAAACATCGCGTGTGCAGCGCGAGAGCCGAGGGGCGCAAGGGATATTATACCTATATACTTAGGAGCAGTGGAAGAAGAACGAGAGGAGAGATGAGAGGCCAATGAGCCGCCGTGGGTTTGTGTGTGCGGGATATATTATATATTTATATGCCGGACCCCGAAAGGGTGAGAAGAGAATATATATATATTTACGTATAACTATCTTGCTGCAAGAAAGGGAGGAGAAATTTCGACAATAGAGAAAGGTGTGCGTGCACAAGAGAGTATAGGTACACGGCTATGGGAGGAATGTATTGGATTGTTGAAGTGGCGCCATTTGTATTCGGGAGCTTCCCTGCTCGGCTTCTGTTTTTTGTACTTTTTTCTCTTGCTCTCTTTATCGCCAATTAGGTTTCTCCATTTATGAATTGGCTTCGGTTTTGTTCGTGCTCGAGTTTTTTTTTTTTTTTTTTTCTCATTTTTGAAGTTTTGACACATACCGAACAATGAAAGCTCGAAAACGTTTTCAACTATATACTTACCGTCATAAATTATAATAAGGGTTTAACGAAAGAAACGCTGATACAAACGAGAAACGATTTCTTACTGGTACTTTTGTTTTAACGATTTTTTGGGATATTCATTGTACTTTTTTTAATTCGCATTGATGATAAGACGTGTGATATTCAAATTAATGTACAAACCATAGCGTAAGTACCGATTATATTGCGAAGCGATGTCACCCTATTCAGACATAATTACTGTACATCGTATCAACTATAAATTAAATTTAATGTTTTGTTTTTCCATAAATGACATATTTTAACATCAATGCACATACTTGAGCATGATTCCAGGTATATTAAAAAAAAAAAAAAAGATTTTTTTCCGAAAATCTAGTACATTGCATGCAGATAGTAGACATGCGATCTCAGATGTTCCTTTACTTTTCCGTTTTAGATGCTTAAAGAACTATTAGATAACTATTTTATTAGTAGTCAACAAACATTTGTTTAACATAAAACAATACCATGTATTTTTAGAGGATACAATTTGTATCATTAAGTATTGGAGCATACATTTTTTATCTTTGATAATATAAATTTTTTGTTGTAAAACATTTTTTCAACAATTGAAACTTTTTTTTTTTTTTTATTTAAATTTTTTTATTTTAAAAAGTCTGCCTGTTCCATAAAATGGATACATTCAAATGCGAAAAAAAAATTATGAATGTATAAATGTGTGTGCGTAAAAATAATTTTTTCATTCACCAAAAATTAAAATTTGAAAATTTAAAACCCAAGACATCCATGTGCAAGTACATTATTACACGCAAATTGTAGAAAAGATCAGAGCCCAAACCCATCAGTCCTGGGTGACTAAATTACGTCAAAAGATATACAGACCGTATTTTTACTTTTGTACTTGCACTATAAGGCTATACTTATTTGGTCACGGGAAAAAAAAAAAAAAAAAAATAGAAAGAGAAAGATAGATAAAGACTTACACTTGGTGCCTTCCGCGTGCTGCTCGGTCTTGGGAGGACCGACGTAGCTGACGTTCCATGAAATCGGGCCACTGCACGGGCTGACCAGTAGCGTCGGCGGCGATCCGGTCTTCGGGTTCAGATAATAGAACCTGGAACGAATTCATCTGCATCCAGTATGATATTACTATTCAGCCGAGGTCACGGAGTTATGGATTAAATTCATTCCTTCGCTCGTTTGTTTGTTCATTATTTTATGTTATTTTATTTATTTTTTTTTTCCATCCATTTGTCTATTTACCGGGCTATCATCGTGAATGGTAATTTTTTTTCGTATACGAATATACTTACACTTTTTTATACAACATAGGTATGACAAAATTAAAAATTTTCCCATGGTAATAAATGTATCAATATTGGATTCTATGCAGAAGCGTAATATACTTTTTTTTTATATATGATTTTATCCCAATAGAATTTATG